GCTAATTCTAATTATAGTATTTTGTGCTGTTGCGGAAAAACGCAACTATTTCTAATTATACTATTTTGTGCTGTTGCGGATTTTTCGAAACGTTTTGCTATTATTGCGCCCGTTGCGGATTTTCGACACGCCGTTACTAATTTAACTTTTGTATTACTAAGCTAAATTTGATGTGTCGATCATGGTAATGGGTTTGCTGACTGCGGAGGAAGATTTTATCATGTGACCTACTTATCAGATCAGCTTGCCGCCGTAACAATATATAATCCAGGGCATTAATTTTGACAATTGTGTTGAAATCGATTGACTGTAGTTTCTGTTGCATAATTCCATACCAACACAAATAAATTCATAACCAGAAAGAACTGCTAGAACTACTACTACTAAAGCTAATGTCAAAACAGATAAATAAGTCACATGGTAAAGTCTTCCTCTGCAGTCATGCAGATCCCATGATTGACAATTAATTTTAGAATAGTGGTACGCGATTGGGGCCCTATATGCTTTTCTATACTGATACCTTTTGTTTCAATTTTGGTAATCGTTAGTTATATAAGCGGCCCTTATCCCATCGTCAAATTCTCATGCTGTATATGTTATTTAGTTCGTTCATGTTATTTTTTCACTCCACGTAATTAAAATATCATATAAACGATCCCCTTTGAAATCAAATTTTTACTTTTTTTCATCGTTGCAATATTAATTATTTAACCGGATATTAATAAACAGCCCACTCAAGCTGTAAAAACCGCTCACTCAAGCTGTAAAAACGGCTCAATTAAGCTGTATAAATTTCCGTTTATTTAGTACTCTGAATTGAGGAACGAGAGTTTTTAATTATTATTTAAACGAATATTGTTTAATTATTTTGAGACAAGTGACAGAAATTGACTAATCAAAATACCAAATCGAAGATAGCCCCGTTTAATATTAAATAGAATTTATTCCCCTCTGATTCCGCAATAGAATAATTGTTGTTGTTATTTCTATTATGGGTACCCCTATTTGGAATCACGAGTAATTTGAAGCTCGGATAGGGAGTTGAGAAGCGCGCATTTAATTTAATTATATAATAGGTCACTTGTAGATTAGAATCCAAGTATTCTTTTAACATGAAATGGCAAGATGGATTCCGGAGCCCCTGTATCGACCACGAACGTATATTTTTTGTTGTTATTCATGGTATCATAAAAATCATGCGATTAAATTATTTTCATTAGGTCTTCTGATGCGAATATATCCTGATCTTTATTTAGAGATCAAATTAATTTGAAAAATTATACAAATTCTAAAAACTAAATCTTATAAAAGATAATGCGTCTCATTAAGTACGCATTCAAACCTTGTAATCATCTCCACTATTAGCGCGCTGAGAAATCACCATCTTCGCCGGCTTACTACATGGCAGACGTGTCTAATCAACCGGGAGTTGGATGGCACCAGGCATAGTTTCGAGAACGTAGTCTAATTGATCATCGCTATACTCCTTTCCATACTCTGCTATCTTCTGGTTGTGTACCGTCACCCACTCGTTTTCATGTCCCGTAAATTCACCTATCGAGTGCGTTGTAGCAAAATATGAAGTTAAGCCCGACTTCGTCATCAAATTCGAACTCAACGTCAGCGATTTTTCTGAAGGCATGCCTTCTGAGATATTGTTGTACGAGCGGTGTTGTTGTAGATGTTATTAAGTATAATCGTATTATTGAGAACGTTGCTGGGATTTCATCGATAATCGTTCGTACAACTGATTAAGCTC